CGCACACACGCGCGCGCGCGCGCGCACACACACACACGCGCACACACACACACGCACACACACACACGCACACACACACACGCACACACACACACGCACACACACACACGCACACACACACACGCGCACACACACACGCGCACACACACACGCGCGCACACACGCACACACACGCGCACACACGCACACACACGCGCACACACACACACGCGCACACACACGCACACACACGCACACACACGCGCACACACACGCACACATGCACACACACATGCACACACACATGCACACACATGCACCACACATGCACACACACATGCACACACACACACACACACACACACACACACACACACACACACACACACACACACACACACACACACACACACACACACACACACACACACCTACCTACCTACCTTTAAGAATCCATACATAACTTTAAGAAGAACTATGATAAAGCTCATGGAGCAGGAAGAGGCAGGGCCAGAAGCTGTGAATCAACCTTGCAACCACAACCAGGCGAGTACACACAAATACAGCATATACAATATGCTGGCCGTCTCCCACCGAAGCAGGGTGACCCAATAAAGAAACATTTTCACCATCGTTCAACACTTTCACCATTATTCCCACATAATCACTGTCTTTGCAGAGGTGCCCAGATATGACAGTTTAAATGTCACTCCAAACAGCCAATATCCCAAACCCTTCCATTAAAGTGTAGACATTATACTACTTCCCACCTCCAGGACTCAAGTCCAGCTAACTGGTTTCTCTGAATTCCTTCACAAAATATTACCCTGCTCACACTCCAACAGCTCGTTTGGTCCCAAAAAACATTCGTCTCCATTCGCTCCTATCTAACATGCTCACACATGCCTGCTGCATGTCCAGGCCCCTTGTACAGAAAACCTCTTTTGCCCCCTCCCTCCATCCTATCCTAGGATCACCCCTCCTCCCCTCCACTACAGATTTATACACCCTCCAAATCATTCTATTTTGCTCCATCCTTCCAAAATGACCACATTTGCTCAATAACCCCTCTTCAGCCCTCTGAATAATACTTTTTGTAACTCCACACCTAGTTTCCTCACTACGAATTCTCTGCATAATATTTATACCACACATTGCCCTTAGATACGACAATCTCCACTGCCTCCAGCCTCCTCCTCGCTGCAGCATTCACAACCCATGCTTCATACCCATATAAGAGTGTTGGTACCACTATTGTACATTCCCTAATTTGCCTCCATGGATAACATTTATTGTCTTCACAGTCAACTTGATGCACCATTATTGAGAATTGTTCGGTCAGCACACTGGGTCAGTTATGCTGCACCTCTGGAAAGGAACTATGCATTAGTGTCAGCATGGGTGGGCAAACAAGGGTGACATCGAACTGCTCTATAAACAATGGCCCCTCTTACTGGGCAAAAGCTACTACAGGAAGAAAAAATTACACATACGCCTCGCCCACAAGGGTTTTCACGCATTACTCTCCAGCCTTTCGTAAATTTTGCTGAAGACTCATTTTTAAGATTGTGTTAACAAGAGTTTACTGTATAATAGGTATCCCCATTTTGGGGTATACCCAAAAACATGTACCAAGGAAATGATACTTGTACTCGAGATTGGAACAGTTGTACACCAACAGCCGCATGTGAAGCCTTTAAAATTGAAGATCTGGAAAATGTACATAGAAATTTTTAATGTTCATATCTTCATACACTTAAAAATTTTTAAATGTTAATTGTTGTTTGGGGCTTGAATGAAAATCCCTTAAACTAGTCCTGGGATACAGGACTTGGAAAATAATGGAGGGAATGGTTTCAGATTTCCACATTTAAATAGCTTTCTTTGTTAACATGAAACATGTTAGATAGCATAAAAGAAAATTAACATGTAAAATTAAAAAAAAAAAAAAAAGCTGGGGTGCATTAAGCACAGTTGATTCAGTAAGTTTGAAGAACTTAAGTATTTTCAACAATCAAATACAGCATGAGGGGAATTACCAACATAACCCAAACTGCTTTCAGAAAGAATGTTACCAGTATGTGACAAGGTTCTTCAAGTATTTGCTGATCAGCCTAGCTGTCATACCATGACTTCATGCTGCAAGTATCAATACCTCACATATTCAGATTCTGACTGACTATAATGGGCTTGTTTGGTAGGCTGTAAGCGGTGGTTAAATGATATACGTCTTCGGAGGCTTCTTACTTTATTGATAAGTAGTGGTGGGTTACACAGGCTTGTGTGTTTGTGCCCATGGCCCGGGCAGGGCCATGCCCACGAGAGAGAGAGAGAGAGTACTTGTGTCTTGATGCCAGGCCGCTGTGAGAGTGAGGGCGAGGCAAGTCTGGGCATACTGAAGTGGCAAGGCCTATAGATGGCAGCACCTGAGTGGCGCGAAATATGAACTAAGCTGGCAGACAGCATGGGCTGTCTGTGCAGACAGTACAGGCTGTCTACATGACCAGTTCATCAGCCAGGAGACCTGGTCTGAGGCCAGGTAAAGTAGATAGGAAATAGAATTAGAAGGGAAACAAAGGATCCCAGAGCAACAAAGGAAACAGCAATGCATCCTGCACATGCACTCTTGCAAGTAGGAGATTGGTAGACAGCAGCCATTCAGGAAGGTACTGCTGTCCTGTATGAGAGTGAACTGGAAACATGCTGAGCATTTTACACTTTGGCAGGATTGCTGATCCTTTCTTTTTTGTCATGAGCTTGTAACATGGGTAAATTTTACTAATCTTTACTTAGGTTCGGTGCACCCTCATCTTTACTTTATTATGTGATGCTCAATTATTTTTACAGTATTCTTGCAGTACTGTATTCTTTCTGATTCAGAAGCCTGGTCTGAGACTAGGATGTGGAGACTGATAGTCTTGTTTGCAAGGGTTTTAAAGGAATGTAAAGAGGAGCTTAGCAAACCTTTGGCTAGTCTTTTCAACATATCACTACAAATTAGCATAGTGCTAGACAAGTGGGAAATGGCAAATGTAATACCTGTTTACAAAGTAAGTGACAGGTCCTTAGCTTCAAACTATAGACCAATAAGCCTTACCTCCATAGTGGGAAAATTCATGGAATCAGTAATTGCCGAGGCAATTCATAGCCATCTTGAAAGGCATAAATTGATTAATAAATCTCAGCATGATTTTACAAAGGGCCATTTCTGCCTTACAAATTTACTAACTTTTTTCACCAAGGCATTTGAGGAGGTGGATCGTGGTAATGAATACGGTATTGTGTATATGGACTTCAGTAAGGCTTTCGATAGTTCCACATCAGAGGCTATTGAGGAAACTTAGGCACATGGAATAGGAGAAAATTTTTTCCTGGGTAGAGGCATGGTTGACAGATAGTCAGCAGAGAGTTTGCATCAGTGGAGAGAAATCAGAGTGGGGGCACATCACGAGTAGTGTTCCACAGGGGTCAGTGTTGGGCTCCTTGTTGTTCAAAGTTTATATAAACAATATTGATGAGGGAATAAATAGTGACATAAGGAAGTTTGCTGATGACACCAAAATAGGCAGCCTAAGTCATTCTAATGAGGACATTAGAGCACTCCAGGAAGATTTGAATAGATTGATGCAGTGATCAGAGAAGTGGCAGTTGCAGTTTAATATAGACAAATGCAAAATTCTAAACATTGGACAAGAAAATAACTATGCCACATATAAACTAAATAATGTAGATCTTGATATTACTGTTTGCAAAAAGGATTAGGGAGTTGTGATTAGCAGTAATCTAAAACCAAGACAACAGTGTATAAGTGTTTGCAATAAAGTGAACAGAATCCTTGGCTTCATATCAAAGAGCTTAAATAATAGGAGTCCTCAGGTTGTTCTTCAACTCTTATATCTTTGGTTAGGCCTCATTTAGATTATGCTGCACAGTTCTGGTCACCATATTACAGAATGGATATTAATGCACTGGAAAACGTACAAAGGATGAGAAAGTTGATCCCATGTATCAGAAATCTTCCCTGTGAGGATGGACTGAGGGCCCTGAATTTGCACTTTCTAGAAAGGTGTAGAAAGGTATGATTGAGGTGTATAGATGGAAAACAGGAATAAATAAAGGGAATGTAAATAGCATGCTAAAAATATCTAGCCAAGACAAGATTCGAAGAAATGGTTTTAAGTTGGAAAAGTTCAGATTCAGGAAGGATATAGGAAAGCATTGATTTGGTAATAGAATTGTGGATGAGTGGAACAAACTCCTGAGTACTGTCATAGAATCTAAGACGGTGTGTACTTTTAAAAATAGGTTGGATAAATACATGAATGGGTTGAGTTGGACCTAACTAACTTGTGCTTATAGGTGTGATGCCGTTCTTCTTAAGTGGATGTGATCTGACCTGATTAGGTGGGTCATTGGTTTAACCCAGGTGACTTGGACCTGCCTCAGATGGGCCAGTAGGCCTGCAGCAGTGTTCCTTCTTTCTTATGTTCTTATCAATAAATAACAAAAAGGCACAATACTGTGACTGGAACAATACACAAATAACCCGCACATAGAAGAGAGGAGCTTACTACAACATTTCGATCCGACTTGGACCATTTACAAAGTCGTCGTAAGCTCCTCTCTTCTATGTGCAGGTTATTTGTGTATGTTCTTATCAGTAGATACGTATAACAGATACAAATAACCCTTGAGGGACTTGCAATTTTGACATGTACAGTAACCGTAATTTTGTATACACGTGAACATTTATATTATTGCAATATACAGTGGACCCCCGCATAACGATTACCTCCAAATGCGACCAATTATGTAAGTGTATTTATGTAAGTGCGTTTGTACGTGTATGTTTGGGGGTCTGAAATGGACTAATCTACTTCACAATATTTCTTATGGGAACAAATTCGGTCAGTACTGGCACCTGAATATACTTCTGGAGTGAAAAAATATCGTTAACCGGGGGTCCACTGTACTATGTAAACAGTTGGTGATTGAAGCATTTTAGATATAATTTTTTTCAGATTGTCTACTGAATCATCAAGAAAAGACATCAGTAAACAGAACCAATTGTGGCCATCATACAGTAGTCCTTCAAGCAGGTGTAATCTAAAGAATATGCCAGTAACCATGCCTCCAGAGCAATATGCTGATAATAATCGCCGTCGTGGTGAGTTTTTTCAAATTTTTGTTCTATTCCTTAGTTGATACCATGGTTTATCTCACTTTTTTTGTAGAACATGTAAATTAAATTTTTAAAAGCAATCTCTTCACTTAAAATTTAGAATTAATTGCAGTAGATTAGATTGCAGTAGAATAGATTAACAAGTGCTTGTATCATGAGATCATTTTACTTATGATTTTGTTAGGGGTAATGTCATGAAAGATAACAATTAGTGCATCATAGATATCACGTAGTTGATAATGTTGAGGTTTCAAGGTATTCAACTTTCCCAGTGATTTCATTGAGATATTGATCACATGGCACATCAGATTTTTCTAATGCCATATTAAGTGTAGAAATAAAGATTAGCACACTGTACTAGGTCAAAGAGTCATTGTCTCCCAGCAGCACTTGGCAGCATGCATACATTGATCAATTTGGGATGATTGTGCTTCATGTAATGAATGCAACACCTAAATTGACTTAATATTAGACCTACTAGATCTTTGTATTTAGATAATATATAGTTGAATTGCCATCAAACCTCATATACATCTGTATATGTGTACATGAATGATATATTTACAGCTCAACATGTTTCTTGGCGAGATGTTACTTACAATGCAGTTTGGACCTAATATTCCATCAGTGACACTGCTACATGTTATCAAAAACTCACTCGTAAACTGAGAGTCTTGTAAAAACTCGTGTATTGTTTTGTATACCAGTAGCACAAGCCATTTCATTTCTCATTAATGAATCCTGTTTACTTGTGTGGTTTCATAATTTTTTTTTTTCAACAAACCAGCCATATCCCACCAAGGCAGGGTGGCTCAAAAAGAAAAACGAAAGTTTCTCTTTTTAAATTTAGTAATTTATACAGGAGAAGGGGTTACTAGGCCCTTGCTCCCGGCATTTTAGTCGCCTCTTACAACACGCATGGCTGGTTTCATAATTATTTTATAATTTTGCTGTCTTACAGTTGTCACCTATTTTATTTCAGGGGTCATATTAGTTAAGCTGTTTTGTTATTATGACATACACAAATATACAGTCACCATCATTTATGTCAAAATGTGGAGTATACCTCTTTAATTAATTGATGAATAAATTTGACTTTATTGCAGGTAAAGCAGCTGCTCAGATCTACAGACCTCCACCAGCCCGTAGCACAAGAGATGATGATACCTTTCATCAGCAGCAGCAAAATTCCTGCCATCAACAACAATCACATCAACAAAAACATTACCATCAACAACATCAACATCAATTTAATATTTATCAAGATGATTCATACAGAAATCATTACCCACAAGAAAACAATTATCAGCAACAAACAAACCATCATCCATACCAAATACCCTCCAGCAGACAAAGAACAGACAGTGAAAGCAGCACATTGACTATTGGGGGTGATTATCAGTACAAAGGAAGAGGCCGACGACCTGATCAAGTATTGTATGTACCTCGAGGGAGGCGCCATGCCCCTGGAGAGACTAGTTCAGCACAAGGAACACCCACACACTTGCATGACTATGAACACCTTCCTAGACCTCCATCTCCTACATTCTCGGTGTGTTCTGTAGCATCGGAATTCAGCGGACGAAACAGATACAATAAACAGGGAAGCCGTCAAGGCAGTCAGTCATCAGTATACGATGGTGAAACAGATAAAATAAAAGGAAAGCCTCCAATTTCCAAAGGAGACTTTAGTAGAGAGTCAACTCCAGGTTACGGTAGAAGTAAAGGTGGAGGAAGGTTTAATACTCAAACACTTCAATTAATTGAGCGCTGCCTCAATCAGGACTCTGAAACAAGACATAATGAACATTCCCGTTGGGAAACTGATTCTATAAATAATTCTCCTTCTAAAAATAGCAAATCACTTAATGGTGGGGGTAGGACTCAAAAGAGTCCTACACCAACCCGAGAGATCCACAGTGTGCATAGTAAGGAAAATGTAATTCATCCAGTTGAGTCTAGTCAGCGATCAAGGAGGAGCAGAAGAAATCGTAGGAGACATTCCCATAGTAGAGAACCTAGTGCTGATCAGAATAATAGTGCAGAAACAAACATGGGCACAAAAGGGTCTGTATGTCATACCTCTAACAATAGGGATCAGTATAATAATGGACTAGGGGATAGAGGTTTTGGTAGTTGTGAAAGAGTCTTTTACAATAGCAACTTCAACATAAATCATGAACGGTATGATCGAGGTTATGACAATTATGATCGCTACAGTAGTATTAACAATAGTCGTACTAATAGCCGTAATTCAAGCCGTGAACGAACTCCTCAGCCGAGTCCCAGTCACAACTGGAGAGGAGGCTCGAATCCAACAAGTCCTGCCAAAGGAAGTTTTGTATATTATCCTAAGAACTCACCAGGTAAACCACCTTCTGGAAGACTTGGTTCTTTACCAAATGTTTCATTGGATTTTGGAGATGGTACAAGAAGTGCACCAAATCATGTTAGTGAGAAAAATGAGAGATATAATACCTTACCTGTTAAGCATCACAGAAGTTCTTGCAGTGATGCTCTTCCACCTGTTGTGGATTCCAAAAATTCAGAAAGTAGCAATAGTTGCAGTATATCAGATAGGATAGATCATAGTTCATCCAGTGAAATTAGGCAAAATGTCTGTGATAAAAATGATCGAGAAATGTTCAGTGGCAGATGTCAAGATATTGATAGCAGTCCTGGAAAAGATAATTGCAAGAAAATTGACAACTTATCTCAATGTGCTTATCAGTGTCCAACTTTGAATGATAAAAGATTTATATTTAAAGACATATCATTAAAGACAGATAATACTGAAGGAAGTGTGACTGATGATTCTTCTAGTAATTCTGCCACCTTAGATCATTCTGGAAAATCACCTGATTACGCAGAAAAAAATATTTCCGATACCTCAAATTCCAGTATCATAAACAGTCAACCGAGCACTTCTCATTTTGAAATTTCCAATCTTCAGCCAGGTGGAATAATTTCTGAAGAGGAAATCATCGATGAGGCTCAGACTGAAGAAACAGTTGTAGAGTCAGTAGAAGATTCAGCAGAGGAAATGGCGTCCGACAGTGATGTCAAAGACAGTCAATCACAGATTAAAGATAAAGGGCCTGAAGGAAAAGAAGAAAAGAAAAACCTGAAGAAGTTTTCCTTTAACTGGGCTGATGAAGTAGAAGATTCATGGGACAACCTTTATGATGATACTGGTGAATGTCTTGATCCTGATATTAAACGTCAACTTGCTGATTCAATTGGCAATATTAAACTAGAGAAACCAGCAAATGATTACTATACCTATCAACCCAAAGAGCCTCAGATAAATGAGGAAGAATATGCTCATGTAATTGAGATCTATGATTTTCCTGTATCTTTCAAGACTCAAGATTTGATGATGGTTTTCAACACTTTTCAAAATACTGGATTTGATATCAAATGGGTGGATGATACCCATGCACTAGGAATATTTTCCACAGGGCTCATTGGTGAGTTGCCACAGTTTGTATTTGTTTCATGTGGATGGGTGGGGAGGTAGTGCATCACTTGAATTGTGATGACTGTGCACTTCTGGAAAGACTGCTAAGGAATAATGGTGACTGTGTTTTCTTGATGAGAAATGGCTGATGTTTAAAAAAGTGTATATATCTCTAAACTTTTTTTGCAATGAACTGTTCATAATGACATACTTTTTGTTATGGGGGTAGAGCCATGCTAGAGTATTCCGTCTTGAATTTTTTTATAACTATTTTTATATTTTCCAGTAGGTGTTGTGCCCTCAACATTCTGGAGCTCATTCCACTTTTCCTATACAGTTGGGTCCCACTTATTTAATGGCAGGTTAGGTACCAGGCTACCGCCGTAAAGTGTAAATCACCGTGAAGTGGAACGCCCTTTTTATCCACTTAAAATGCATGTAAATACTAGATAACAAGTTTACACTAACATATATTAAGTTAGCAATAGAACTAGGCATTAAAAAAAAACAATAAAAAAGTAAAATACACATACAGGGCACTCATTACTTAAAATATTTGTAGTCTTAATGTAGGGTGAGATGAGTAGTATTTATTGTAAGAAATCAAGTGTGGTATGTATGGTAGCTAGCAAGGCTACCATACCAGGCCACCCCACTCACACATAATATTCTATGACATTTGAAGCGTCCCAGAGCGATAAAATGCACATACAGTACACTCATTACTGACCTTAAAATATTTGTAGTCTTAATGTATAGAGAGAGAATGAGTACAAGAGAGAGGACAGACACAGAGTTATGTAAACAAACCAAATGAATGTGTCTGGTTTGTGTACATGTTATATTGTGTACAAGTTGTCTCCACATTCATACAGTAGAATAAATACAGAGCAACACTCCCATTCTTGTGAAACACTATTTTTAGAAGAAATGACGCTCTGAGTGAAGGCATACAAAAGGAATAATTTTCTAGTTACCCACAGTAATATTATAGTGTACACATTTTCTCTGATGTTGGACTGAAGAAAACAGTATTCTTGTAGTCACTCCTACAAGTCGTCTGGCTACCACATCTCATATTTATTAATTTATTCTACTGTGTGGTGTATTTATCACTTTTATATGTTACGTATCGTGTTTATTTTATAATTTTGAAAAAATATCTTAGATGAATTAATGAAAATGTGTATATTAACATAATATACAACATTTAATGAGACTCGGTTATTGAGTACAGTATTATTAATATGGCATCTTGAGACACAAGACACTTACTGATTTTAATATGTGCCTGCATGCCAATACAGTGTGCAAGTTTATTTAGGTACAGGTATACATAAGTATAATTAGAGTGGACCCCCGAGTTTCGTGATTAATCCATTCCAGAGAGTCTGCTGAAAGGCGAAATTCACGACTGGCGAAACCATTTTCCCCATAAGAAATAATGGAAAGCCAATTAATCCGTTTCAGACACCCAAAAGTATTAACAAAAAAATATTTTTTTTTAAAGATTAAATATAGATTTACATAAAGAAAACAATGACAAATGAATATAAAGCACTAATAAAATGGATAAATGAACATTTAACATCATGCTTACCTTTATTGAAGACTCTTGTTGGTGTATGGCAGACAAGTAGGAGTGTAGAGGGAGGCGAGTTGATTATGCTTCAATATGACGCTAGTATCATCTCTACGGCATATTTATCTATCACAATTCATCTAATATGACATAATAAACAATGTTAATAACATAGAAACATGATATACACTCTAAAATGAATAAAATATGTCATAACATATGTGAGGAGTAAGTGTTGGTGGTGGTGTTGGGTTTATAAGGGCCACTGAGAGAAGCCGTACATGTTAGTGGTGGTGGAGGCGGCAGCAGAAGCCACCAACACTATTTACACCGAAACAATGTACGTAATTTATAAATAAGAAATATTTACACTTACCTTGGAGATGTTAGTTTAATTAGTTTGATGGAGGAGATGCTGGCAGAGGTTTAGGGTGGTGGAAGATAGCAGGGCAGCATATTTCACTGGCTCTATACACCAACAACACTGGAGAGTTGCTTTCGTGTCGTTTTTCTGTCACTTAATCGCTTAACTTACTTGCTACACTTTATCGCTGGCTGGCACTATAGCCTTTATGGATACCTGCTGCTTTAGTATCATACATATCTTAGAATCACTGAAGAAGGCACATTCTCCCCTCTCTCTTCCTCCTCCACTTTGGTACTTTGCTACGAGTTTTTTCTTAAATTCTATCGTGTTTCTTTCCTTCTTTACCAATGGCCTGGCACTAGGAGCTTTCTTTGGGCCCATGGTGGCTTGTTTAGCAGTTGCAGGCACAAAAAACAATGGATTATTATGAAATGTATTGTATGAACCCGTGGGGTGATGGTCACTTGCTAATAAACAATGGCACACTGAGTGTGAATGGTGCAGGAAATGCTTTGTGTGTGTGCTGACCCTGGGATGCTGCTCAGATGTGTACCAGATGGTCCAGACGTCACCGAATCACGAAGCCAATCATGAACCGTGAGGCTATATTTTGCCAAAAAAAAGTTGCCACAAGTCAGATTTCATGAAAGTCGCAGCCGCTGAAAGGCAGGGGTCCACTGTATCAGAATACAGTGGACCCTCGCCTAATGCTATTAATCCGTTCCTGAGAGCTCAACGTTAGGCGAAATTGTCGTTAGGCGAATTAATTTTCCCCATAAGAAATAATGGAAATCAAATTAATCCGTTCCTGACACCCCAAAGTATGAACCAAAAAATTTTTTACCACATGAAATATTAATTTTAATACACACAAACTGAAGAAGACATGCACAGTTACATGACACTTACCTTTATTGAAGAGCTGATGATGATTGATGGGATGGGAGGAGGGGAGACTGTGGATGGTGTTAATGTTTAGAACGGGAATCCCCTTCAATTAGGACTTGAGGTGACGTGTCCTTTTCTGGGGTTACTTCCCTTCTTTTAATGCCACTAGGACCAGCTTGAGAGTCACTGGACCTCTGTCGCACAATATATCTGTCCATAGAGGCCTGTACCTCCCGTTCCTATATGACATTCCTAAAGTGCCTCACAACATTGTCAGTGTAATAGTCACCAGCACGGCTTGCAATAGCTGTGCGAGGGTGATTTTCATCAAAAAAGGTTTGCACTTTAAGCCACATTGCACACATTTCCTTAATCTTTGAAGTAGGCAACTTCCTCAATTTCTCTATCCCCTCCTCCGAAGCAGTTTCCTCAGGTGTGGCCTCTTGCTGTTGAAGATGATCTAGCAGCTTATCAGTGGTTAGTTCTTCATTGTCCTACTCCACCAACTCTTCCACATCCTCCCCACTAACCTCCAACCCCAAGGACTTCCCCAATGCCACAATGGATTCCTCAACTGGCATACGATTCCCAGGGTTAGCCTCAAACCCTTCAAAATCCCTTTTGTCTACACATTCTGGCCACAGTTTCTTCCAAGCAGAGTTCAAGATCCTCTTATTCACTTCCTCCCAAGCCTTACCCATAATGTTTACACAATTGAGGATGCTAAAGTGATCTCTCCAAAACTCTCTTAGAGTCAATTGAGTTTCTGAGGTCACTACAAAGCACCTTTCAAACATAGCTTTTGTGTACAGTTTCTTGAAGTTGGAAATGACCTGCTGGTCCATGGGCTGCAGGAGAGGAGTGGTATTAGGAGGCAAAAACTTGACCTTAATGAAGCTCATTTCCGCAGAAAGTCTCTCTGCCACGTCTGAAGGATGACCAGGAGCATTGTCTAATACCAGGAGGCACTTAAGGTCTAATTTCTTTTCAATTAGGTAATTTTTCACAGTGGGGGCAAATGCATGGTGTAACCAGTCATAGAAAAAGTCCCTAGTGACCCATGCCTTACTGTTTGCCCTCCACAGCACACACAAATTAGCCTTGAGGACATGGTTTTTCCTGAACACACTGGGAGTTTCAGAGTGATACACCAATAAAGGCTTCACTTTGCAATCACCACTAGCATTGGCACATATCAACAGAGTAAGCCTGTCTTTCATAGGCTTATGTCCTGGGAGTGCCTTTTCCTCCTGAGTAATGTAGGCCCTGCTTGGCATTTTCTTCCAAAACAGGCCTGTTTCGTTACAATTAAACACTTGTTCAGGTTTCAGTCCTTCACTGTCTATGTACTCATTGAATTCCTGTGGTTGTTTAATATATTTATAGATGGGGTTGTAAGAGAAGTAAGTGCGAGGGTCTTGGCAAGAGGCGTGGAGTTAAAAGATAAAGAATCACACACAAAGTGGGAGTTGTCACAGCTGCTCTTTGCTGATGACACTGTGCTCTTGGGAGATTCTGAAGAGAAGTTGCAGAGATTGGTGGATGAATTTGGTAGGGTGTGCAAAAGAAGAAAATTAAAGGTGAATACAGGAAAGAGTAAGGTTATGAGGATAACAAAAAGATTAGGTGATGAAAGATTGAATATCAGATTGGAGGGAGAGAGTATGGGGGAGGTGAACGTATTCAGATATTTGGGAGGGGAAACGTGCCCAGCGGATGGGGTCTATGAAAGATGAGGTGAATCATAGAATTGATGAGGGAAAAAGAGTGAGTGGTGCACTTAGGAGTCTGTGGAGACAAAGAACTTTGTCCTTGGAGGCAAAGAGGGGAATGTATGAGAGTATAGTTTTACCAACGCTCTTATAGGGGTGTGAAGCGGGGGTAAATGAATGTTGCAGCGAGGAGAAGGCTGGAGGCAGTGGAGATGTCATGTCTGAGGGCAATGTGTGGTGTGAATATAATGCAGAGAATTCGTAGTTTGGAAGTTAGAGGAGGTGCGGGATTACCAAAACTGTTGTCCAGAGGGCTGAGGAAGGGTTGTTGAGGTTTGGTTCGGACATGTAGAGAGAATGGAGCGAAACAGAATGACTTCAAGAGTGTATCAGTCTGTAGTGGAAGGAAGGCGGGGTAGGGGTCGGCCTAGAAGGGTTGGAGGGAGGGGGTAAAGGAGGTTTTGTGTGCGAGGGGCTTGGACTTCCAGCAGGCATGCGTGAGCGTGTTTTGATAGGAGTGAATGGAGACAAATGGTTTTTAATACTTGACGTGCTGTTGGAGTGTGAGCAAAGTAACATTTATGAAGGGATTCGGGAAACCGGCAGGCCGGACTTGAGTCCTGGAGATGGGAAGTACAGTGCCTGCACTCTGAAGGAGGGGTGTTAATGTTGCAGTTTAAAAACTGTAGTGTAAAGCACCCTTCTGCAAGACAGTGATGGAGTGAATGATGGTGAAAGTTTTTCTTTTTCGGGCCACCCTGCCTTGGTGGGAATCGGCCGGTGTGATAATAAAAAAAAAAAAAAATTTTTCAGCCGCTTTGTGGTCCGAACTGGCAGCCTCACCATGCCTTATCACACTATGTATGCCACTACAATTCTTAAATCTCTCAAACCAACCTTTGCTGGCCTTAAATTCACTCACATCATAAAATAGTTTGCAGGCATTTTTCTAATTAAATCGTCATGCAACTTCCTAGCCTTTTCACACATGATCGCTTGAGAGATGTTATCTCCTGCTATCTGTTTTTCGTTTATCCACACCAATAACAGTCTCTCAACATCTTCTATCACTTGCGATCTCTGTTTCGAAAACGAAGTTGCACCTTTGGCAAGAACAGCTTCCTTGATTGCCGTTTTCTTGGCCACAATAGTAGCGATGGTTGATTGGGGTTTTGTGTACAACCTGGCCAGCTCGGAGACACGCACTCCACTTTCATACTTAGCAATGATCTATTTCTTCATATCCATAGTAATAGCAATGATCTCTTTCTTCATATCCATAGTAATTCTCACCCTTTTTGCTGTAGGGTTGGCACTAGAAGCTTTCTTGGGGCCCATGGTGACTTATTTTGCAGGTGCAATCACTAAAAAGGCTGTGATAATGTGAAATGTCCCGATTGTATGCTTGGAAGCGACCGCGGTGGCTGGCTTGTAAACACTGGCACCCACGGAACAAGTGAGGCGGGCTCAGGCTGCACGTGGACGCATCTTGAACGAGTCACGTTGAGCGAGTATTTAGCGCTAGCCGAGGCAAAATTTTTGCGTTAAAATGTATCGCTAGGCGGATTTAACGTTATGCGATGCGTTCGTTAGGCGAGGGTCCACTGTATATATGAAATAACTTTTAAAAACACTTGAAATTTTGGAAAATTTCCAGACATAATGTTGAGACGTGGTGTTCACAGTGAATGTAAACAAACCCTGTGGGGCGCAGTGACCATATTAGAAAGTCAGATGGGGGGAGCCGTATAGTGAGTTTTGGTCATAATTTGAAATGTCTGTATTAGCGGAACGCCGTAAAGCGGGGCTCTACTGTACTCTGTTTCTACAAAAGTACTGCATTTATTTTGCTACACAGCATATGTAATTTAAGATTGTGTCCTCTGGTCCTTCCTATTGTCAGCTCAGAAAAAGTTCCTTGGTTTCTCATAGTATAGCTTTTTATGAAAACATAATTTATATTCTTGGCCATAAATATACCATTTTTACCCAAAATCTGTGACCCATGTTATATCCCTTGATATATAGCCAAGATGAAAAAAATAGACAAAATATAAATTTAAACACATCAGGAATATAAAAGAACATGTACCAGCAGTGGGAAGTTCCTTGATGGCTTATTGAGGAAGAATTCTGTTCCACTTCCCCATGGAGAACATTAATATATATATCATTAAGAATTTTTATTAAGGACAGTAACTCATGATTATATATATTTGAGTATTTACTACATTATGCTCTTAAATTTACTAGTCTCACACTATTACTATTAAGCTATAATTAGAGCCAGTTTGTTGCAAGAAGTAGTAGTTTTTTTTATGGGGTTTACTAATGCACTTATCAATAATACATATTATGTACAAGGATATGTAATTTAGTAGTAGATGAAAATATTTTTATATACTTTTTATACTTATTTTGGCTTGCAGGCACTATACAGTAAAGTGCTGTATAATTTGATTATATTTTTGCAGCTGCTGATGCTCTAAGTGTTGACCATCCATTTTTGAAGACTCGTTCACTTGCTTTAGCCACAAAATCATCTAAGGCCAAGGCTATGCGCATCACTGAGGCCCTTTTGCCATACAAGCCACGCCCTGCTACCTCTGCATCCTTAGCTCGGAGATTGGTGTCTGGAGCACTTGGATTGAAGGTGAATATTTCTCGGGAGGTTCGTGAAGCAGAGAGACAAAAACTTAAGGATGCCAAAGGTAAGACATTCATTGCTCTGTTAAATATACAAATCATTTTGTATGATGATCAACAATAAAAATTATTTCAGTATTTTCAAATATATAAGTAATGAAGTTTTTCTATAAATATTATGTATAGTTACTGGTAATAGTTAACAGGGGCCGCCATTCTTAATATGTAGAAAATTCTAAAATGAATAAAATTAAAATGGTTTTAAGCAGTATTAGGATTTATGGAAAATATGGATTAGATGTACCTGTAGACATGTGCTAATTCTGAAAGAGTACAAAAAAATGGGGCATGGTTTTTGAGAGTTGACTAAATCCCGAGCCTCGATAAAAAACATCATGAAGTCAGGAAAGGGGCTAACTTAAACACGTCACTGTGACCATTTTCATAAGCTGTAAAAAATTGAGCAAATTTTATCCCAGAAACTGAGAAAACAAAACTAAGAGTAATTCTAAACAACAGCTTTTGGAAAGTAATATAAAATGACCAACTATCACAAAAAGTAATTACCAGCGGAAAACCAGTTAAAAATAAACAGTTTTAACCCTTTCAGGGTCTATGCCGTAGATCTACGGCTTTACATTCAGGGTCCAAACCATAGATCTACGCCAAAATTCTAGCGGCGTCAAATTTAGTGCGAAAAGGCTGGGAAGCCTACATGTGAGAGAATGGGTCGGCGTGGTGTGTGTGCACCGTAAGCAAAAATTCTAGGCACCCGCATAGCATTGTGGGAATGCCGGCTCAGTTACCTTTGTTCACCATGCCTCCTTGCAAGGCAGCTCTCACTCCAAGGAAAATTGGGACTCTCCTCTTCCTATCTGATAGTTCTGACTCTGATGGAAGTGGAAATGAAGACGAATTCTTTGGCTTTGATCAGTTAGTGACTGAAAGGAATGGCCAGGATATCGATAATAGTGCAGAAAACCTTGACGATCCTCAACCTTCTACCTCTGGTGTGGGCACGCCTCAGTCACGTTCAGTTGTACCTCATCGCAAGAGAAAACTATTATTTTCGCGTGGCCAGGCCTGACTTCAGTAATGATGATGATAGTGACGTGGATTGTAATTTTATTGCTCTTGACGATCATTTGAGTAGTGATAGTGGTGAAACATATTCACCAGTGAAGCGTCGGTATATACGCCGCCGCATGAGCTCGGGTAGTGTTCCCTATGCAGTGCCCAGGGGACGGAGTACATCCCGGAGTACATCCTGTGGCCCTACACCAGGAATAGACAGTGAAAGTGAGGTTGATGTGGCTACACTTAGCATGGATAGACCACAGGCATCAGTAGGTGGTGGTAGTGGTGGTGATGGTAGTGCCACGACCATGCATGACTCACCAGCCCAGGCTGGGACCCATGCTGACTCCTCAGTTCAAGGACAAAGCAGAGCGTCAGCCACCAGCCCACCACAACCACAACTACCAGCACAACCAGCCTATGATGTCCAGTATCCACCAGCAAACCGTATCTGGGATTGGCAACAAAATCCCAACTTTGTTCCCAAGCCCCACCACTTTGATGACTCTCAAAGTGGAATTCTACCTACTTGTCCCCTTGGAAACACTGCAAATGAACTGGAATTTTTTGAACTATTCTTTGACCAGCCATTGATGGAAACTATTGTCAGGGAAAGTAATAAGTATTTTGAGTACACCATGGCAAATACGATCATATCACCACAGTCAAGACTACACCGGTGGAAAGAGACAACTGTTGCAGAAATGTATTTGCTTTTTGCAACAATAATGCTTATGCCTCATGTCTATAAGCATAATATAAAATCATACTGGTCCACAGATCGGCTAATTTGTACCCCGGTCTTCAATGAAATCATCCCAGTGAACAGGTTTATCTTACTGCTTTGTATGTTGCACTTCTCTGACAAAACCAGGCCTGATAGAAGTGACAGGTTATACAAGATTAGAAATGTTTTTATGTATCTGAAACAAAAGTTCAACATGTACTTTTATCCATTCAAGAATCTTGTACTTGACGAGTCTTGGATTTTGTTCAAAGGTAGGCTGTCATTCAAGCAGTATATACCGAGCAAGAGGAAACGCTTTGGTATAAAACTGTTTGTACTCTATGACTGTGACAGTGGCCTGGTATTGGATATTGTTGTATACACAGGAGGTAAAACATTGAAAGATACCAGGATGTTATTGGGTATCTCAGGTGACGTAGTGAGAAGCATGATGGCACCTTATCTTGGGAAGGGGCATACATTATATACTGATAACTGGTACACAAGCCCTTTACTCAGTGATTTCTTGCGAGTGAACATGACAGATGTGTGTGGCACAGTGCGTTCTAATCGTAAACATATGCCCAGGTTCAATGCAGGTGTTCGTGGTGAAGAGGTGCAGGTGTTTACTGCCAATAACATCATGGCATTATGGTGGCATGACAAACGAGATGTCACAGTGTTGACAACCATTCACCGTAACGAAATGCAAGACAGTGGCAAAGTTGATAGAGTGACTAATGAACATGTTCGAAAACCAGTGACAGTGATTGATTATACACAAAACATGCGCTTGGTTGACAAATGTGACATGCAGATTGGCTTTGTTGATTGTGTTCATAAGAGTTACAAGTGGTACATGAAACTTTTCTTCCATCTCATGGACATTTCAATGCTCAGTGCATATAATATGTACCAAATGAAGACTGGCAACAGACCACTGTATGGTGAATTTTGTTTGTCTGTTGTCAGACAACTAATAATGAAATACCAGGTAACAACACCTGCTTTACAAAACCGTCCTCGAACTCCTCAGGATATACCCAGGCGTTTGAGGAGGGAAGGTGATCACTTCATAATACAGCTTCCTGCAACTAAGAAGAAATTTGCTCAGAAGAGATCTGTTGTCTGTGCACAAACAAAATGACGGCAACAAAGACGCAAAGACACTCGGTTTATGTGTGAGAAATGTAAGGTACCTGAGTCTGTGGAGACAAAGAACTTTGTCCTTGGAGGCAAAGAGGGGAATGTATGAGAGTATAGTTTTACCAACGCTCTTATATGGGTGTGAAGCATGGGTGATGAATGTTGCAGCGAGGAGAAGGCTGGATGCAGTGATGTCATGTCTGAGGGCAATGTGTGGTGTGAATATAATGCAGAGAATTCGTAGTTTGGAAGTTAGGAGGAGGTGCGGGATTACCAAAACTGTTGTCCAGAGGGCTGAGGAAGGGTTGTTGAGGTGGTTCGGACATGTAGAGAGAATGGAGCGAAACAGAATGACTTCAAGAGTGTATCAGTCTGTAGTGGAAGGAAGGCGGGGTAGGGGTCGGCCTAGGAAAGGTTGGAGGGAGGGGGTAAAGGAGGTTTTGTGTGCGAGGGGCTTGGACTTCCAGCAGGTGTGCGTGAGCGTGTTTGATAGGAGTGAATGGAGACGAATGGTTTTTAATACTTGACGTGCTGTTGGAGTGTGAGCAAAGTAACATTTATGAAGGGGTTCAGGGAAACCGGCAGGCCGGACTTGAGTCCTGGAGATGGGAAGTACAGTGCCTGCACTCTGAAGGAGGGGTGTTAATGTTGCAGTTTAAAAACTGTAGTGTAAAGCACCCTTCTGGCAAGACAGTGATGGAGTGAATGATGGTGAAAGTTTTTCTTTTTCGGGCCACCCTGCCTTGGTGGGAATCGGCCAGTGTGATAATAAAAAAAAAAAAATATATACAGTATTGGTCTCATAGGTCACAAATGTTACTAGGAAAAGAAAAAAATTAGAAAAGAAAAGAAAAAATTGTTAAAAAACATAAAATAAAGAAATGCGAGTTTGAGGAAATTGCCGATGTTGCCGCCACCCAGTCATTTTGGGTCAACTTCTCGCCTCTGTATCTCGGTAAGTACTGATCAGAAATTTTTTTTTTGTTTTATTACCTTCACAAAAATATACTCTAATTCTGTAAGATTTTTTTTTTTTTTTTTTTTTTTTTTTTTTCAAAATTTCTTGGACACTGGGGCACCCCTTCCGATTTTGGCCTTGGACCCTGAAAGGGTTAAGTTACAGAACTAGCCAGGACCTTAGAGACAACCTAAGTCATCACAACCTAATCATTACATGTTCTTTTTTTAAGCTTTTACACTTTTTCCCATCTCTTAGATCAAACATCAAAGCTGCCATTCTCTCTTTCAGCTGTTTTTACATTGACTGTTTGTCTTTGTTGGACAGACAAAAAAGCACCCACTGTATACAAAATTATTTAGAATTCTTAGAGTAGGAAAATTAACTTCCACCTCCCACAAAAACTTGTGCAGAGTAGTTTCAGAAATTGAAACAAACTATACTCTTGTCATTATTCAAGAAATCTGTATCTGTGGTTGAGAGAGTTGCATAATGTACTTACTCTCAGCATTATGCAGCAGAATTGATCATGTCTGATATTTATAATTCAGATTAAGAGCTTGAAATAGGTACAAATACTATTCCAGTCTCAAGATTCTGTAGCAGTCAGTCCACTTGCATTGTATTCTCACACAACATGATGCAGTTGTATCATAGTCAGCTGAGCTTGATGGAAAATTTAACATATAACCAGCCTGCTGCACATATTCCCCAGAAAGTACATTTTACATAAAGATAAAGACTGCAGGTACTGTACATGTATTGGTGAGTACAGTACTATTTTTTTTATTTGATTTGGAATGTTTTATCTTTACAAAAATCCCATGGATTTCTATATTCCCATTTTTTACTCTGGTTTGTTTTTTATCCAGTGTCACCTGCACTGACCAAGAAGAAAATATTGTTACTGAAAGAAAGCCATGGTAACATAATTTTGAGAACAACAAAAGGAATAAATTGTGAAATATACAGATTAGGCTTCTGTACATTTTGTGCTGAGAAAATTAGCAACAGTGGACCAGGGATGAAGACTGCCCATTTGAGTATGTAATCAAAAAAATAAGAAAATGAAAATAAAAGGGTTTTCTCAGAAAGCTTACCAATAATATATGAATCATGGGAAAAGAACAAAGAATCCACACAGGTAAGTGAAAACT